AATAGAGGTGGTCCAAAAATGCCAAAATGCCGCTTTTTTCTGGTTTTCATGTAAAATTTGGTATTTCTCGACTACGAAGGCACAAACAGGGTTGAAATTTTGAGGTTATCATAAGTAAGGCTTGTAGTATACAATGACATATATGGGTGGGGCGGAGGGCGGAGTTGGCAATTTTTGGACTATCTCTATTTTCTCACCTAAGTGCGGAAAAAATCCAGTAAAGGCATATTTGAGTATTACATTGTGTCTGCTGTATAATGACCGAGTTTGAGGTCCGTAGGATTTTTCTTCTCAAAAATCCGATTTTTGTGTGATAAGTTTTTTTTTTCAATTTTTGCTTCAAACTTTACCTGTATTGCGACTAGGCGGGTCTTTGGTAATCATTTTGTAGAGCATGCATCACACTATCGAATAATATCCTAAGTCTGCTAGGAAAAAAAACAATTTGATTTATTTAGAAATTTACTTTTGGGACACCTAATATATCAATACGTGTTGTGTAATACTGTTGTATAATATCTGTTGAACAGAGACATTGCTGTGCAGATGACGAACATGAGTGTTTTTGTTACCAAAATGTTCTTGGATGCTTTGAAATAGTATCGGAGAAAGTAGCTTTCTTTAAAACAAGTCCATTGATTCAGGTTTTCATAATTTGAAGCAATATTTTCCTAACTTTACGTCAGCAACCCCACACTCAAATCTGAAAGTCTTAAATTTCCCTAAAACAATTCTTTGATTGGACTTATCTGACAGGACCATGCCAATCACAAATGATGCTTATTCTTCATCATAGTGTCTTTTCCGCTGGCTTATGTATTACGATACAGGCTTTTGGCGATGTTACCAATTTCTTCCTCTCCCTGCGTAAAATCCTGGGGCTTTAATCAACGTTTTGGACGTATGACTTCTTCAAAAAACACAAGGCTTCGTCCCCACCTATCGTCTTGGGCCTCAGTTCGTAAATTTGAATAAGTAAGGGCAAGGCATGATGATTGAGAAACATCATAGATGGTCAAATGCAGGCGTATCTCGTGGGACCCACCCAAAGTACAGTGGCTTTAGATGGCGCTGCATCAGTTTTAGTTCATAAACTGAGCGAAGTTGCTCGGCTGACGCAGAATGAAGGATCCAAATCTGGTTAGTTTTGGATTTGATAGTATCTATTTTTCCATGTTGGAAATTATTTCAGGTAGAAGAAGGGGAAAAACCAAAGAACAATCGAAGGGTGAAAATTATTGTGGGTGGCAAAATTTTCGAAACCACAGTCTCCACGCTGACAAGATTGGATGACACTGTAGGTTTAACTCCAACTTACTGCTAACCCTCACTAGAGTAATATATCCAAAGGTTCTTTCCGCAATGGTAGCGAATCGATGGCGTCACGAGGAAGAGCTATTTATAGATCGGAATCCAACCTACTTCGGCA